TAGAAGGTAATAATATATAAGTACGTAAGTGGGGAAATTTACTAGAGCCCTACTTTGTAACAAAATACTTTACTGGAATTTCGAGTATCTCTAAAATTAGGCAACTACACTTCCTTTGTGTTCTACATCGCCGATCGTCGGTAATGACTGTGAAACAACTACGTGCATCAGACTTCTAAGTACCTTAACGGATTTTCCCTTTGCTATTCCTGCTAGCATCAGTCCCGTCCGGTCCCGTCAACCCCCCGGGGCCAGAAGGGGCTATGCTCAATATGGGCGGGGCTACGCACGGGGCTATGACGGGACTGTAGATGCGAACGCCCCTTATTTTCCCTCTTTGAAAAAATACGCGCAGGAGGGCGCCATCCTCTGCGTGATACTAACCTCAACTTTACGTTACCGGTATTTACCTTTCACCTAATTCTCCGTACAATGGGTTATACTATTCTACATGGAAACACGCAACACCCATACCCCTTGCGTGCACTTACTGTAACCCACCTCCTACGACAGTGATTGCGCCGACAAATCAAATGTGTACCGATGTTTACACAAACCATTACAATGGGCAGCAAGTATATGCATGCGGAACTTCATTGAACATGTAAAATAAAAGTAGGGTAGAGGAGAATGTACTGATATCTTGTAGTTTTAATAGTGACGTTTTTCTAATTTACTATTCTCCACGTCAAGCGGCATATAGGACACGCATCTGTATTCTTCGTTTAACTAATTGGCATTCTTCTGTTAACAGAACTCGCCAACCACGGCAGGCTCCTGTAAGAGAAAACTCAGCTACAATTATAATTCAATAAGTATTTTAATTATCACTTTTAGTAATATTTTTGTTTTAGTAAATGGCATGCGTGGCGTATCACTTCTCGCCAAATTTTTTTAATTAAGAAATGAAAAAAAATTACCAGATAAATGATTATGTCAAAAATATTTGATAAATACATTTGAAGGTGACTAAAGGAATATTATGGCAGCTGTCTATATTTATTACATTTTTTCATTCCCGTACATATGTGAGGTATGTGTCCTCTGGCATAAAGTTCGTTATCGACATCAGCTCAACTGACCGACGGACAAGTTGAGGGCGATTAAGACTCCAAACAAAATAGGTGAACATTTCGGGCATAGACCTTTGACGAGTTTATATGACGGTTTTATCGTTGTAACGGACGATATCTACCATGTCCCCACCAGCGACAGCCGCCCTCCACCTTCGTAGGTCACGGGCTTCGGGAATTATCGGGAACCGTTATTTGCACGTGAGTTATTTAAAAGCGATAGTAAACTAGTACGGGAGCGACCGCGCTCTCTTTTCCTCCCCCACCAAGATTCGGTATCAAGAGAGAATCAAAAATACTGGAGGTGTTTAAATTGAGCAATGATACCCATGCAAGCATTCAAGAAGTCTACAGTACGTGGGCTAACTCATGAAATTTTAACCGAATTTCAGAGCTACGTTTTCGCCTTGAAAAGATAATTTAAAAAGGGTTGCAAAACTAATCAGTCTACGGAATAATTCTATAGCAATTCATTTACCTCAGAATGCCGGCTTTCAAACAACTTTCTTTTCGGTTGCATGCAGGAACTGCACTCTGTAATAAATGACTGCTTATGTAGCATGAATTTTTCTCACTGATTTTTGACATCCATTAAAATATTCCTTTTTCCGTTTATTCGGTAGAAAATTACGTCTCCTTTAATTTCATACTCGAAGGAAAGAGGTGATTCGGTTTTAAAAACGTTTTTAATTGCAAGATATTTTAATACCGTGAAATGGCCGTTCATACCAACGTGACTTTTAAAGTTAATAATATGGATCATATTCTTTGCTGAATTTTATGAACTCCACATAATCTCCTCTTAATACCGTAGAGAAATGTGTGGTTTTCCGTATGTGGAAAATCCTCGATTGTTGTTTGGAAACCCCGAATGCAGGTGTGATGACAGATCGCTTTCAAAATTATTCTTGAATTGAAAAAGTTTTTAGAAACCGAATTATACATTTCCTTCGAGTATAAATTTGGAAGAAGACGCAATCTGCTACCGCATGAGCAGAAGAATGAATATTTTTATTCATGTTTTCTATTAAATATACTCGGACCTTTAGGAGCATCAACAATCTTTGAGAAAAATGTATGCTACATATGCAGCCATTTTTTACAGAGTGCAGTTTTCGCGTGCAGCCGGAAGGGAGTTCGTTCGAAAGCCGGCATCCTGAAGTAACCGAATCATTACAGAATTATGCGGCAGACTGGTTAGTTTTACAAACCTACATAATTAATCTTTTTGAAGCGAAAACGTGTTTCGGAATTTCAATTGACATTTGACGAGAAGCCCACCTACTGTAGTCCGGCAAACACATGCTTTCGATTATTTATCATCAGGCCTGGTTAAGGGAGGGTAGAATAGTAAATAGCCAATAAAAGCCAGTATGAGGAGGGAAGTGTTGAGGGGCGTTCACTGGTCAAGGGTCAGCGTCTAGTTCTGTCAGTAGTTCAGGGAGTAGGCGATTAACTGTCCCTCGGTCAACGCTGTAACGCGACATAGCGTGTGCGGACACATATGATGGACCTGTCTTTGCCTCATCAACTGGTCAAGGGAAATGTACATTCCAGATATGCCTGAGAATGAAAGCGTCACTTTGGAAAACACGTTGAAAGAAAACGGCTACTCCGAAACATTCCTCAAAAAATATGCGAAAGAACACCCTGGAAAGTCGGATGTGCTGACCGCTGAGAAAAGGGAGTTAATTCTCATACTGCCGTCTCGAGGGGGTCCGGCGAACGAAACTCTGCATCCTCACTTAAACGCTGCTATCACGCGCACCTACCCAGCCACTAGGAGAAGACTAGTCTTCGCAAGCACTGCCTTTTCAGACCGCCTCAGTGTTCATCTATGTCTTCACCCTCTCCTGCGGAGCAGATTATATTGTTCGAACGACTAGGCGTATACCTAAGCGGATGCGAGAGTTTCATCAAAGTGTAGAAACGTCCATCTTTAGGTCAATTATGGCTCACTTGGTTGACAGCGGCCACTGGGTAGACGTCGACCAAGCATTCCATGTTATCTATAAAGTGTCGACGAGACATTTCAAATTCCTGCCCCAGATAATACTTTCGAATGCGGAGGAAGTGGCCATACGGCTAGCCAACTTAGTCTGATGCTCGCAAAAAATGCTTGTACAAGCGCTAAGGCACCGCTTGGCAAAGAATGGCCCAGCATGTCTTCACACCTGCCACGTTGAGTTACAGCAATGAAGCAGGAACAGCTAATTGCTAGACGCAATCCCCATCCCCTCCCCAAGCCGTCGACAAAATTAGAATCTGAACCCTGACTTCTGAACTCCGCTCAACCCTTATCCGATTCCGAATTTCATTGGCTATTAAACTTTTGCTACTCTACCCTACCTGATGATGTATAATTGAAAGCGTGTGTTTGCCGGGCTAGACTTCTTAAATGCTTACAGGGGTATCATTGCTGAATTTAAACACCTCCGATCTTCCTGATTCTATCTTGATACCGGGTCCAGGTGGGGGAAAAGGAGAGAGCGTGATCGATGCTGCGCAAGTCTATTATCACTTTTAACCAACTCCAATGCAAATGACTGTTCCTGTTCTCACCCTGCTGTGAAGAACACGGTGGTCATGGTCGGTTACGATGATCGGACTTTCGGGCTGATGGGGAGTCATTCAAAAATAATTCAGGCCGCACGGTTTTTATGTGAAATTAATGAATAGCCGATTCAACCTATCCTGGATCGAAAGCACTCGTTCCGGCACCGGGTGAGTTTTAAGTAAACAACAGTTTACTTTACCAAACTGGACTAACTTCTCGAAACCCTGTAGGTGGTTGAGAGCAAACAGTTAGTGGGCTAACTCATGAAATGTCAACAGATATTCCGAAGTGCTTTTCCGTTTCAAAAAGACTAATTAACTGGGGTTGTTAAACTAATAAGCCTACAGCATAATTTTATAGTAATTCAGTTAATCCGGGATGTCGGCATTCGAAAAAAAACTGCCTTCTGTTTACATGCAAACATATACTCTGTAAAAAATGGCTACTTAACTAGCATGAATGTTTCCTGTTGATTTTTGATGTTCGTAATTGTCCATTTATATCTCATGGAAAACCTGCATAAAAATATTCAGCCCATTGCTCATTAGGTAGAAATTTACGTCCTCCTCTTGTCGTATACTTGAAGGAAGAATAGAATTGTGTTTTCAAAAACTTCTGATTCCCGAGTAATCTTGAACGCAACCTCCCGTTACAATTGCATTCAGGTTTTCGAAACTACAAGCCGCATAACTTCCGCGTACGGGAAGCCATACATTTCTCTACAGTATTAAGAGGAGATTATATAGCGTTCATAAAATTTAGAAGCGGATCTGATTTATATTGTTAATTTTACAAGCCACATTGGTAAATGCAGAGGCATGCCTTTTTATGAAAGACTATTTCACGCTATTAAAATATCTCACAATTAGAAACTTTTTGCACCGAAGAATACCCTTCCTTCGAATGTAAAATTAAAAGGAGAGGTAATGCGTTACTGAATGATCAAAAAAATGAATATTTTTGTGCATGTTTTTCATAATATATAATTAATTCTTTAGGGCCATCGACAATCAGTTAAAAAATGCATGCTAATTAAGTAACCATTTTTTTACTGAGTATGGTTTATGGATGCAACCAAAAAGAAGTCTCTTCAAAAGCCGGCATCCTGACGTAATTGAAGTTCTATAGTTATGTTGCATGATGATTGGTTTTACAACCCTACCTAATTAACCTTTTTGAAACAAAAACGCATCTCGAAAGTTCGGTTGACACTTCATGAGTTAGCCCACCTACTCTACGTCGCTGCACATCGCCGTCCACGCGGTCATACGGACTCAGCAGATCGATAAAAGTATTCGAATCTCGTTCTGGCGCTTGACGGTCGCGCAAGCCAGTGCTTCCACGCGTAGTTTACCCTTTCGCAGCCACAAATGGCCGAAGAGGGAAATAAAGAGACAAGCGCCAAGGCCAGCCTGGTTTATCCACTCGTCAAGGTAAGTCCGATTTTAAAGCCTTACTGTATGTAAGTGTAAGTAAATGTGCTCTCACAGTCTAAGCGCATGTACTGTAGCCTTACTCGTATTTCGTATAGTTAACGTACATTCCATACTTTGCAACCCCAACCCCCTTCGAAATAGTACTGGCATGATCGCCTGACTGCGATGGCTACCTGTAAGTCTTTTACCGTCGTCAGCGAGTCCAACTACAAACCCCAGCCCGCGAGGGATATGACCTTTGAATCAAGTTCCATGGCAACGGTATAGAGAAGGACCCCACCTAACTGTCAGTAGACAGTGGATCGTGTCATACGGGGTTTTATCTTGGCATACATTTCCAGTCTGTTGCAGAAATTACACTACCAACAGCGATTACTTCCCACGACCTCACACCTTAACCCAAAATCCGTTATTTTGTGACAGTTGTTGCTTTTTGGTTTAATTACTACTCATTTCCGTTGCCGTACAATAGCGTAGGATAAGACTTTAGGTGTAAATCCAGGCAGTTTATGTGCTTTCTTTCATTTTGTCAGCTTGCTCTCTAGCATGCTGTCCCACCCATAAAATTCCCTTTGTCATAAATCACGTATGGCACGATCCACAGTCTGCGACAGTTAAGTGGGGTCCTTCTCTATACCACTGCCGCACCGTCGAAGTTTCAGGCTCATCGAACTTTTTATGATGAGGAATGGGTTAAAATGCTGTGAAGACGGATTCTCCAAAGTCGGTCTCGTTCACCCTTCCCTCTTCCGAGTGCCGGTTGATTGCCCAAACCCGTCAACCAACCTATGCTGAGATCTCACACGTGTTAGAGCAACAGGGTCTCCACATGGAGAGGGGGTCGAAGTCCCTGTCCCCTACTTAAGTGGCAAGTGCGTGTGGGGGTGGGGTGAGGCGTATGTAGGGCGTTGCGGCCGACAGAGTTGGAGAGCTGGTCTGCACGTACCACACACACGACCTGTCTTCCCATCCGCACACATCCGGTGTTCACACATAAGGGGATGAAACGTTCGGATCTCACAGGTGGCAGAGGATCCACTTGGAAGAAGGAGTCGAAAAGCGCACTCCGCACTTTTGTGTGAGGGGCTAATGCTGTGAGGTGTTAGAAGTAGTTACGCTTAGTGCATGATAAGGATGTGCGTGATGATGTGGTCATGTCTACGGTGACTTGTCGCAGGTTTTCATGGATGTGCGTATAATCGAATAGGCCCATTCGACGGTTGAATGTGCGAGGGCAATGCGGAGGTTTGGAATGAGGACGACGGATATATACTGGTGCCCCAGACACTGGTTCGCCGATGTTATTGCAATGGATTCGCAAGCGATTGACCGGACCAGTGCATTATGTGCATCTGCGGTGTCGATGTGGGCTGAATAAGTTGAGAGTTGGTGATGCTACTAGTGTTCGTCGCGCTGATGGAAGGGGAGTTGAAATAGTGTTGGACATGGGAAGTTGTCGGGTGTGCAAGATGTGCTTGGTGTGTCGATAGTAAGGTGAATTTTGCTGTTGTGAATGCGCTTTTGACCGGCGACTATATACGCGTGAGCAGTGTAGGCAAATGAGGTTTGTGCGATGAATATATTTCGGGTTCGGAGCATCTTTGCGTCCGGTCTCGGTACGACGGACTCGCAAGTGACCGAATAGACCGATGTGTTATACGGACCTGCCACTGCTAATAGAACAGGATGGGATCGAGTCCTCATTGGTGGCTATGGGGGTGATGGAGGCCGTCGTAAACGTCCTGGAGGTTTGTGCTGGGATGATGGCGGTGACGTTCGTCGAGGCAGCAGGTGGAGTTGCCTGAATGCCGTTACACTGGGTCCGGAGATGTCTGACGAGACCCATCCACGGGAAGTGTTCTTCAGCAGCGTGGACATGTTGGAAGGGGTTGGGTATTGGAATTGTGAACCAGAATCGCTTAAGACATGAGCCAAATTGTTGGCTTTGAGGATGGCGATCCGGCCAGTTTCGTAGGCTATTGCTTAAGTCTTCACTGCTGTTGTCTAGACAAATGCTGGATGAGGTCTCTGGATTAATGTGCAATCGCGTGAGTGGCTTCGTTGTTCTCTATCTTGTCGGCAAGCAAACGTAACGACATGATCGCAGGGGAGTCACTTTGATAGCCGCTGGCAATACAGGCTCGCTAGGTGACCCCTCCAACGCAGTTGAATCTACCTCAGCACGACATGGATGCCAAGGATTCCGTTTCTTTTAAGGACTTCTCTGTCTGGAATCCTCTCGTGCTAATTTAAATTTGTCATTCTCTTAGGGATAGCTAAAGTGGAAGTGGTCGAGTTTCCGTGCTTGTTTTTCGTGAACTGTACGGGTCTTTGCTTCATACAACAGTGACAGCTGTTAAAATCGAGTCCACAGCTATTCTACACGGAGGCAGGCAGTCGGTTGAAGACATGGATGAATTTTGAGATTTGGTACGCAACTTCATAGTCGATTTTGACGCCCCTTGATAGTTTACTGCCTGCGTGGCCGAATGTGTGTCTACTTGCCTTGTTTAATTTCCGAGGAAATTAATGCGCGAACTTGGAGTAACTCTTTCGAAACAGGCCTTTTCAGGCACGGTCCGAAATTTGATATGAATATTTGAGCTGAAATTCATCAGCTACTGCGGAATAACCGCTTAATATTCACAAACCGCCAACAGGCAGCCAGTAGTATAGCACTGTGCAATAATTTACCGTACTAACAACACAGGTATTAGCTAAAAGCCCAGACACGCGTGTTTCGCCGATCTTGTGCCGCGCATTAATTTCCTCGGAAATTAAACAAGGCAAGTTGAAACTGGAGTTCATATACCAGAAAACACACGGGGAATGCTGGGGGACCCACTGACGAGACGAACCCCTCGCAGTTGCGTCAGGCAGCGGCACAAGATCGGCGAAACACGCGTGTCTGGGCTTTTAGCTAATACCTGTGTTGTTAGTACGGTAAATTATTGCACAATGCTATACTACTGGCTGCCTGTTGGCGGTTTGTGAATATTAAGCGGTTATTCCGCAGTAGCTGATGGATTTCAGCTCAAATATTCATATCAAATTTCGGACCGTGCCTGAAAAGGCCTGTTTCGAAAGAGTTACTCCAAGTTCGCGCATTAATTTCCTCGGAAATTAAACAAGGCAAGTTGAAACTGGAGTTCATATACCAGAAAACACACGGGGAATGCTGGGGGACCCACTGACGAGCCGAACCCCTCGCAGCTGCGTCAGGCAGCGGCACAAGATCGGCAAAACACGCGTGTCTGGGCTTTTAGCTAATACCTGTGTTGTTAGTACGGTAAATTATTGCACAATGTGTGTCTACTGCTTTGAGTTGGAGAGGGAAGCGAGGGTCCTTGCATTTAGTGTTTGGCGACGCCCCACGCACGGCCGCCGTTTTACCTGCCATTATCCCGAAGTTTGCGTATCCGGAGGCAAAGTGATTCCTGTTTCGTTGCATATCCGCATCTCCCGCGGTGTTGAGCGTACAGTTGTTCTCGAAAAGCAGACCGCAGACAGCAGTATTGGAGAGACACTTTTCGGCTCTACATGCGTCTGCATCAGTCGTTCCTGTAGATGGTGCCGATCTTCGGGCGCTCATCAAGGTAGCCCTTCATTAGCATGGCAGAGAACATGTGGCTTAAGAGTGTGGGAACAAATACGCAGCCACTCCACTGGTTGCTGTGAATGCCTCGGAAATCGTCCCATTGTGAAACGGACGGATTTTGTGCATGAATCCTTTAGGACAGCTGAACTTTGTGGTTGATCTTTCAGAGTCCATCAAGATTCACCGTGATGAGGCCAAAAGACCCGCTGCCACGGCATGAAACGTCTGGAGTTGTTTACCGGATCTGGTGTCGTTGAGGACAAAGCAACTATGTTGGAAAAACTGGGAGATTACTCCGTACGCGAATTGCCGAGCACGCAGCAGCAGTGAGACGGGGAGACGCTAACTATCAGGTGGCGGCACACTCGACGTTACCCGGCCATATTTTCAAATTTCAAGAGGCCGAAATCTTCGCAAGGGGTGGCAACCGCGTGAGCCGCGAGCTGCTCGAGTCATGGTTCTCAGGCCCGCTATCCATCAACAAGCACAATGACCTCCCGGTACCATATTCCGTGCTGCGATTTTCCCTGGGTAGGAGAATCAGCCACGTGGGGAGGGCGCGGTGAGCAATTATCACAGTGACAGTGAGCCAGTATGCCTGGCAATCGTCACATCAGCATCCAGCACGGACGACGAAATTACGGCAACTAACGACTCGGACTCGGTCCGACAAGCCACCACCACATCAATTACGATCCCAGCGGTGATTGCGAGAACTGGTAATTGCAGTGCGCATACGGTCCCACAGCAGCCACGTGCTATAAATACTGCACTTCTGGTGCCACCATCACCTTTATCTGCGAATGTCTCTGATGATGGATTCGAGTGAGAATCCGAAACGTTAGGCAATTAATTTCTTGTTCCAGTGACCGCACCTTCATCTTCTGAACGATTCACCGTGTCAGCAGCTACTGTCAAGTCCGCGAGATACCCTAGAGGTTGGTATGCAATTCCTGGCATTTCTCTTCCGGACCAAGCAGATCATTTCGCTTGTTCCTCGGTGTCGTCAAAAGTCTCATTGGCTTTCCGGGATAAATCTGTATTTCAGATGCCCATTGAAACGATTTAGGTGGATGCGAGCGAACACCATTCGGCAAATGGGGAACAGCGAAATCCCTCTGGAATCTGTCGGCTCTCTTTCCGCTTATAGAAAAGGGCGATGGCCGCATACTGAAAGTCTCGAAGAGCTCGTACTCGACCCCAAATCTCTTGGAATGCCGCTGAAATTTTGCTTATCAGCTGGGACCGTCATGCTTGTGGACATCCGTCTCGATGGCGTCGGGTCCCAGTGTTTTCACTTGGATAGTTGTTGTGCAGCCTTGACTGTTTCCGAGAGTGAGGGTGGGTGTCCATCTGGGGGAGCCGGTCGGTGGAGGGGTCCAGGGTTTCGGATGGGTGGTTGAAGACGGTCTTAAGTGCTCAGCCCAGTGTTTCAGAATCTGCGATTCCTCCGTGAGGAGTTCCGTCCTGTCGAAACTGAGTAGTGGCGCGATTCCCTTGGTGCAGAGATCTCGTCACGTGCGAATCGGTGGGACAGCTGTTACAGTGTTGGATACATCTCTCGTGTGGAACAAATACCAACAGCGAACCTCGCTTGGTTTCAACGCAAGACCGAGTCTAGATTACCGGAGCTGTGCGAGAACGCGAAGTCTAGCAAAGCCAACCTTCCCGTCCACGCGGGCACATGCATTTTATTTCAAACTTCACGAGCACTAATATTAAAATAAAGTGCTTTGAAAGCTTCGTTGATGGAATTCGCTATAAATGCCGCAATTGGTGGCGTTTTGTGAGTTTGGGCTCAATGGCTGACAAAGTTACACAGGCCGTCTACGCGTCCCACACTTCATAGGCGACGGGTTACTGTAAGAACGGCTTAGAGCTCATATAATTTCGAATACCGCAGGAGTGACGTTTGAAAGAGCCATTACAGTCCTATTGCCGACTCAAGGAAAGGCAGACTTATTGCGTCGTTTGGAACTTTTACTAGCCCCGACTATTAGCGAATCCTAGCAAGTTAAGAACGCGTTCATACGATATCAGAGACTCCCTGCATGAGGACTGGTACATGGAAAGTTGGCAGTCAGGTCGTATGTGGCCTGCGCAGATGAGTGATATAGTTTCTTCGGCCACTGTGTCTATGTCCGCCTCCGGTTGTTTTAATTTTGTCCATTCAATAACAGTAGGGTACAGGACTCCACGCGGCTGACAACTTCAGCATCTGCAATAAAATCCAGTGTGAGTCAATAAGTATAAACTTATTGGCGGCGGTTCATTTAAAGTCTGTTATTTTTTCGAAAGTTGCTCTCGCGCCTAATTTCTTTGCCAAATACCTGCGTACGATAAGACTTCCGGCTGAAATAAATTTATTTTATGTGTGTTAATTCACCTCACTTGATTTCCGTCCTGTTTAGAGCTCCACGCGCGAAAACCCGTTCCCACTATTCAGAAGCTAGTTAAATTCTGCCGGGGTCTTACACCCTACCGTTGCCATCTTTCCGTTTAAAGACGACCGGAATATGAAAAGTGAGTAAGATGCCATGCAAGTCAGTATCAGCGTGGACAACCGCACGCTGAAGTTACAGCTGTGCGCACCTTCAGTGAAACTGATGATTTTTCCTATATTAAAATGTGAACTGTCAGAATGAAGAATATATCTTAAACAAGTATAGAAAGTGGACGACCACTGTACCCACAGTTTCGGACTTTAAAATACTTCTTTGTCAATAATCAGAGGAAGAGGGTTTGTTCAAAAGTTGCGTGAACGTAGACACGAGAACATAGCTAGGCGTCCCTTCTTCTAAAACTCCTTTAATGCTTTTTCGCAACATGCAAAAATGTAGCCACCGTACAGCTCACTTAATGTCAAGCTAAACCCTCGGTCTACATGTACGAAATGAATTCCATAGTAATTTCGCTCCACTAAAAGATATTAATGAGCCTCTGATCGGATACTTGAAACTTTCACAAATTTCGTGCTATCTGATATCTCCCCCCCCCTCCTCCTTCCAGCCGACAGGTTAAGGGAGGTATGATATATTGGGGTCGGGGTTAACGTGAGGGTGAGGCACCCCTCACTTTTGCAACACAAAACACTAAGACATGAAAATTCACAGCCTGATCACAAAAAAAACATGTAAAAACTAGACGAGAGTAAATAAGCGGGAAAATATTAGGGGTAGAATACCTAGCATAGGCTTTCGAAATGATATAAGCCATCTTATTTAGCCTCTTCAAGAAGATTTGGAACGCCCCGGAGCTCAAATGAACGCGTCGAAAACCATTTAAATGGTCAGGTTTCTGCTCTTCAGTTGTATTTGCCTTACCCACTTCCAACATTTTATGAATGAAATTTACTTGTCCTCCTCTGCCCGCTGTGTTACGTTTTGAAATGTCCCTTTTTCAGTACAGCGAACTCAGTGACGAACTCCAGAGTGAAATCAGTGAATTATGTGTTACTGCGTGTGAGAAGTACGCAAATGACAACTCCGTAAGTCCCTGCACTTATGATTTTACGTATGTTATCAATATATTTTTAAAAATGACATATAAACGTAATTGAAAGAAGAGGGATATCAGTGGGTGGACTAAGTGTGCGTCTAATGAGGAAAGAGCTTTATTTACCATGGAAGCCAGTCCAGGATCCGAACACGCTGTTCCCCCAGAAGATCCCACCGAAATTTTGGGATTCTATGTCGCTGCAACAAAGGTTTGGCCGTCAGTAAAGAATCTAATTGATTTGTGCATTTCAGCATCATTTTCGGTAGTTAGACACGCACACGCTTGTTAAAGGCATCATTCGGTCCACCTTCTACTTTCAATGTAACTCACGGGCCGCAGAAGGAGCTTAGAAACAGTTAGAAGGCGTACGAACGGCCAACATCAGATATGCTGCTTATATAACGAGATTCTGCAGAATCCAATATCATTAATTGCTAGGAATCATTAACTACCTCCATCATTTTACATAGTTTCGAGCCTTCTTGCAGGACTGCCAAAATCTTTATCGTGCGTAATACCGCCCAATCTCTCAAACTATTCTTTCACCTTGAAGCAGCCAGAGTAAACACCTGTCTATTTAGCGCAAACTAAAGAAAGTATATGGGTTTTCAAATAGAGTTCACAAGTTCCATTGTTCTGGGATTAAACCATAAGGAAGACTGACTTTTTGGTCGTAAGTTGTCCAGATGCAATATAGCAGCACACTTGATTAAGGCGAAGCATTTTTCCACTGCCGGCTGCTAGGACTGTCCCGTTTAAAACATCCCCGCACCTCAAAGTTTACCTGCAGTTACGGTTTTATGCTTGCGAGAAGGTTACCAAGTGCCATTAATGGGTGCGTAGTAGTATTTTTGGCGACTTTCGTCGCGTGGTGTGGTGTCGGTGTTGACGTCCATAGAATTATTCCACTTATCTTGATGAAGATAATCAGAATGGACGATAGTGAAGAAATGGCCGCCGATCCGTTTCGGGGACCTGCTCGTTCTTTCGTGCCTTGGGACTCAATCTAAAGCCCTCGCAGGTAGTCACATAACATAACATATGCGGATAAGAGGCTGCTGAAAAAGACAGGAGGCCGATTGGGATAACTATTTCTGAATTATCAACCGTCATCAGCCAAAAATACCCGGCCCCAGGTTTGCACCACCTGAGCCTTGAATCGACATACCTTGGTCACTGAGTGTTATTAAGTCTAATGCTCTACCAGTTGATTTGCAAGTAGCATTCTAAGCAGTATATGCTTGAGTGGCAGTCGCTTTTCCGCACCATTATCAGGTATCTAGCCGGAAGCTTAGGAGCGTGGTTCGCCGAAGTTGTTGCTACTACACGACGCGCCTGCGGAAGCTACGACATCCCAGCTCGTCCCCAACGTTCCCTGTGCAGATGGGCCCGGCCGTGAGGCAAAAAATTTTGTAAAGTGTTTGGGGAAATACCTGCGTGTAAATGCCCGGGACCTCTTTGCGTCATCCTCGACATTGCATTGAACATTGTCTCAAAACCTATCAACTTTAGCCGCACATGCGCACACCGCATTCCATACTGATGATAAGTGGCATTTAAGTAGTGTGTGCGTGCACGACCGTCGCATCGTCATCGTAGCATCAAATGTTTGGCCTAAAGCCCAGACACGTGTTTCGGCTTCTCTGCGCAGGGCATGTTGCGGAAGAGTTTGACACATCGAGCTTCTCCGTGTGCTTCCTGGCACAATTTGCAATTTTCTGTGTATAACTATCAGAATTTAATGGGAGAAATTGAAGTAAATCCCCCGAAACATGCTTTGGCAAGACAGAAGGATAGGAGCCTCCTCGCAGGTGACCTGGTACACAAACCCTAACCGTAATCCAAGTACCAACTATAAATCTAACCTTCTACTGTTTAGAGTTGAATGGAAGGTCGCACAAATTATGCATGCTCCCCGCATGCATTTCTTCATAGTGCCATATTTTGGCAACTACTAAAACAGGGTCAAATTTCTTTTTCTGCTAAAACTGTCATTATTAACAGTAGGTGGGCTAAGTCATGAAATATCAAGCGAAATTCCGAAATTCGTTTTCATGCAGCATAATTCTATAATGATTCAGTTACTGTAGATTGTCGGCTTCCGAATGAACTTCCTTCCGACTTCATGCAGGAACTATAATGTACAAAAATGACTTCTAAGACAGCATGCAAATTTATCATCGATTATAAATGCCCTTGGAAATTTAATTCTATTTCATGGAAAAAATGCATAAAAATATTCATCCTTTTACTTACTCGGTAGAAAATTACGTCTTCTTCCAACTTTACACTCGAAAGAAGATTTTAATTTGGTTTTAAATACTTTTCCAATTTCCAAATAATTTTGAACCCGACCTGCCGTTATGCTTCATTCGCGGTTTTAAAACTACAAGACGAATAATTTGCGCGTATGGAAAACCATGCGTTTCTCTACGGTAATAAAAGAAGACCGTATGGGGTTTATAAAATTAAGCACTGGATTCGAGCAATATTGTTAACTTTTAAAGCCACATTGGTAAATACAGATGCATGACGTTTTATGAACGGCCATTTAATGGTTTTAAAAAATATTACAATTGGAAACTTTTCTGAAACAGAATTATACTCCTCCTTCGAGTATAAAATTGATGTAAGACGTTATATTCCTCCGAATCAAAGAATAAGTCAATATTTTTATGCATTTTTTCGTGAAATATAATTGAACTCTTAAGGGCATCTAAAATCAATGAGAAAATTGCATGCTACTTGAGTAGACCTTTTCGCAGAATTTATTTCTTGCCTGCAGTCCGAAATAAGTTCATTCGAAAGTCGCCACCCTGTGGTAACTGGATTGTTGTAGAATTATGCTGAATGGTGATTAGATTTTCAATCACACTTAATTCCTCTTTTTAAAACGAGAACGCTTTTAGAAATTCCGTTTGAGATTTCATGAGTAAGCCCAACTACTTTAGGTTCCGAATTCCGTGTTTGCAATGGCAGGGTGTAGGACCCCCGCCCCCCCTCCCCCGTAGATGGATCCTAATCCCGAGTCCTACCCGAAACTTTTCCGGTCTCGAGCCGAAATTCGGACTATTATTCATCACTTCCAGGGAAGCAATTGTGTACTATTCGCATTGTGCCAATAGGCAGTCATTAGTACAGTGCGTAACCTATCTCATGAAGTGTTGGCTGAAATTCTAAAATGCGTTTTCGATTAGGAAGGATTACTTGGTCGCGGTCGTAATACTGATTACCTTGTGGCCTACTCTTATAAAATTTCGCACTTGGCAGGATGTCGGCTTTTAAATGCAATTCTTTTCGATCTCCTGTAGAAAGCGTGCTCGGTAAAATAATGACTACTTAAGTAGCATGCATTTTTCCCATAGATTTTCGATGGTTTTGCAAATTTGAATATATTTTATAGAAACCATAAACAAAAATATGCTTTCTTTTAGTCAATCAATAGCGAATCACATCTTCTTTATATTTTATACTTAAGGACGGAGTATAATTAGGTTTTAAAAAAGTTTCTAATTGTGAGACTTTTTAAGACCGCGATATGTCCATTCACATAGCGTCGTACCTGGCCGTTTACCACTGCTCCTCATGAAATGCACAATATGGTCCGCATCCATTGCAAACTTTTATGGACCTTGTATGATATTTCTTTAATGACATAGAAAAATATGGGATTTTCTTTACGCGGAACGCATGCACCTTGTAGAGTGTAATCACTAAGCGCTAATGCAGCGAATGATCAGGCTCCAAATTTTTCGGCAATTGGAAAACTTTTTTAAAACCTAATTATACTCCTTCCTTAAGTATAAAATATAAAGAAAACGTGATTCTCTATTGATTGACTAAAAGAAAGCATATTTTTGTTCGTGGTTTCTATAAAATATGATTGAATTTGCAAGACCATCGAAATTCAATGGGAAAATGCATGCTACTTAAGTAGTCATTTTTTTGCCAAGCACGCCTTCTACAGGAAATTGAAAAGAAGTGCATTTAAAAGCCGACATTCTGCCAAGTCCAAAATGTTATAAGAGTATGCCTTAAGATAATCAGTATCACAACCGCGACAAAGTAATCCTTCCTAATCGAAAACGCATTTCAGAATTTCAGCCAACATTTCATAAGATAGGTCACGCACTGTAGATGAATATATACGTATTTTTCATGTCCACGGCACCGGTACCGGCTTAAAGCCCGGACAATTGTTTCGCCGATTCTCCTTTACTGTATGACATAAAATACAATCATCGCGTATTTTAGATCAATAATTCATATTACCTTCCGGATCTAGACTGAGGAGACTTGTGCTGAGGGCATCTATCCAGATTTACACTTTAATTTCTGAAGAAGGTGAAAAGCCTAATATACCTCCGTTACTGACTGACTATCGTGAACTGCAAAACGACACACCCTCGAGTTCGCCTGCAGTGAGGCCAAATTAGTATTGCCACCCCTATACCAACATAAATACTTCCGGTCATGACTGACAGGGTTCGATATGACAACCACTTGGTCGCGTGCTAATCTCAATTCCCTTCGGAATTGTTGAATCGATGATGTTGTGGAGGGTTCCTAACTGGTCCCTTTTAACGACAACATATATCTCACCTGCAAACCGCAGCCGCAATTTAGCGTGCTTTTAGAAGCCAGTGGGTCAGTGTGAGACTACCCCTGAATGGATAAATACCCGATCTTCAGCGACAGAGAATGGCGGGTGGCGAGGCACTGAAGTTGAAATGTACGGCGAGACCTTTTATTTCAATTGGCCATGCACACGCTAGATACTGGGCACACTTTTGCATGAGAAGATACTCGCATCGTCGGCGCCTGCCCTACCAAAAACAGCTGAAAAATCCTTGAAGCTATGCACTCTGATGATTCGTTCATTAATCAGCATATTGACTCGGACACCATGTTCAAAAATCTCAATTAAAATGGCGGATGTGGGAACCAATCGGCACACAGTAGCTATGTGGCGGACGCGTAATTACAGAAACGCAGGAGAATTATTGATTTTTGAGCTAGTTTGAAATGCAGACACATCCAGTTATGGTAATATGGAAAAAAAAGATATACCCCATTTTCACATCATTTTTCAATTCAAAATTGGCAATTCGAAGACTAAATCCGAACTTAGAGCTTGCCAACCACATCGGAAAAGCTGGCCGCAATTTTAGCTTCCAAGGCCCAACTGTTTTAGGCTGGGGCTCCTCAAAGACAGAACGTCTCACACCTAAGGCTCGGCACTCAAATGTTAACTCCATCAACAAACCTATGGACCTTCCGGCGACCTATATAGTCCTACGTCACTACGCATGCTATGACCAGGACAAGACAGTCTCACGGGGCTTAAAAGTACCGAGCAAATACGGCCCGTCAGCTAACTCACTCAAAAGGGGAGCACAGGTGCAACTGACACTTATTAGGGTGAGGAGACACAACGCAGGAGGCTACCAACATTCACAAACAACAACCAGAGGACTTACGAAGCGAAAAGAAAAGAAATTTGAACAGCCCAAGGCGAACAAATTCGGCCATTTATTTAACATTCTGGTCGATTTTATCACTAAACGTTTTGATACTGGAGAGCTGACCAAACCCTCCGAAGCGCAGTCATACGATTCCCCTGGTCTGGTGAACCCTTCACATTTCTCAAACCATTTCCACTTGACGGAGTGTGTACGATGATCCCTGCAGTGGAGATAGTTTTATTGGTCAGAGCCACAGAAAATGTTGTTGCACAGTTACGGGGGCGAGAGTGAGAGTAGAGGGGAGTCGGGTCATCGAGTAGGAACTAGTGGTTATTGCTGTCGGAACATGCTAATTGAGTGTCTGCTGCCGACACGCGTGTGTTTCCTCTCCTCCTCCTCCTCAACCAACCCCCCCCTCCCCCATCCTGCAGGATGCTGCAAAAATGGTCAAAGAAGGACTCGAGCAGAGAACCGGTCCCGGCTGGCACGTTATCGTCGGTCCAGGCTTTGGCTTCGAGATCTCCTACGAGTTGAAAAACATCCTCTACATGTACTTTGGCGGAAACACAGGTGTCTTACTGTGGAAGTGCTCCTAGGCCCTGCCAGTACCTCTCCACCGTTCCCGCCTCCATGTCTGGCACTTGGGACCTTTACATGCCTGTACGTCGGCATGCACATCTCTGTATACAGCCTCCGGCTAATCTGTGTACCACAAATCGGTCGCAGTTGTTTAGTGTATACAATAAACGCATTCCCGGCCACCGCTGACTCCTTTGGGCCTGGAAAAATAATCAAATTATTCACGAGGGCAAACATATTGGGTGAGTCCGAATTCCGACAGGGGCTGGTCGGGATCATCTGCTAGCTACGGGCGTATTTTTATCCTCTTACGTGAGTATCCACCAGTAAGACACACGGGAAACACTGTGGGACCCGTTGATGAGCCGATACCCTCGCAGCTCTGTCATGCAACGGCGGAACATCAGCGGAACGTATGTGTCTGGACTTTTAGCTGGTACCTGCGTCGTCAAGTATGTTATGTCGTACTATTAAGGACAAAAGACAGTCTGATTAGTCTGGCGTTGCTTTGCATTACCGGAAAGCTCGTTTGTCTTCAAGGCCTGACACGTGCCCAGACTCTGTAAGGCCTGCATGTGGCTGCGAAAACAATAAATAAAAATCTTTCGAAGCCCCCTCTAGAAACAAAGATCGAGGCCTGAGTATAGTAAGTGGGCTTACTCATGAAATGTCAATCGAAATGCGTTTCCGTTTCGAAAGGATTCATTAAGTAGGGTTGTAAAACTAATCATCGTGCAGCGTCATTCTAAAATATTTCAGTAACCTCAGGATGTCGGCTTTCCAACGAAACTCTACACTTTGTAAAACATGACCACTTAAGCAACGTGCATTTTTCTCTTGAAATTCAAATATATTTCATAGAAAACGTGCATATAAATATTCATTCTTTTGCTCATTCGGTAGAAAATAACGTCTTTAATACCCTAGTCATTCCCGGATGCCGGCATTCGAAAAAACTTCTTTCCGGCCGCATCCAGAAAGAATACTCCGTAGAAAATGACTACTTAAGTAAAGGGCATTTTTTCATTGATTTTCGATGCTCTTAAAGATTAAATTATATTTCACGGAACACATGCATAAAAATATTATTTATTTTGCTCATTCAGTAGGAAATTACGTCTTCTTTCAATTATTTACTCAAAGGAACGGTTTAATTTGGTTTTATAAAACTTAGCAATTCCCGAATAATTTTGAAGTCGACCTGCCGTTACACTTGCATTCAGGGTTTCCAAACTACAAGCCGTATAATTTCCGCATACGGATATCCATACATTTCTCTACCATATTAAGAGGAGATTACATGGCGTTCATAATATGAAGCAGTGGATTTGAGCCACACTGTTGCTCAATGCAGAGACATGACGTTTTATGAAGGGTCATTTCGCGGCATAAAAATCGCACAATGAGAAACTTTTTTAAAAATGAATTAAACCCTTTTTCGAGTATAATAATGAAAGGAAACGTAATTTTCTTCTGAATGAGCAAAAGAATGGATATTTCATGCGTGCTTTCCATGAAATATAATTGCATTTTTAAGGGCATCACAAATCAATGAAAAAGTGCATGCTACGTAAGTAGTCGTTTTCTTCGTAGTATAGTTTTTGAATGCACCCGGTAAGAAGTTTGTTCGAAAGCCGACGTCCGGGGGTAACTGGATTATTATAGAATTACGCTGAAAGATTTTTGGTTTAACAACCCAACTTTTCTAATTTTTCCAAAACGGAAACGCATTTCGAATTTCTTATGACATTTCATGAGTTAGCCCACCTACTGCACAGCCAACCCTCTAACCCCTAGGCTGCGAGGTTCTACCAAAAACCATGAGATTAATCACATCTGGGTCAAATTGCCTGCCGATTCGCAGCTTAACGGATCATCTGAAACCCTGAGGGATATTTTAGAAATCTGAAATACCCACATGCTGCAGAAAATGAACGCTTATGCGACACTCCGGACTTCAGTCCCATAGCAGACAGGTGGTCACTGACAGTCTACCCACGCACACATGTCGATCATCATAAATGCGTCAGCACGGTCTTGTCAAACAACCGTTTGCCGTTCTACTCCATATGCTACTCCTAAAACAATTTTAAAAACAAGATTCTTTCGAGGTTGAAATCGTTATTTAATCAAGCAAAATGCAAAAATCTCGTGGATAATGTGGGCACCGAAGCCCATTGAATAGTTATTAAAATTGTTTGACGTATTTTGTCGATTAAAAAGGTCACTTGAGTGGTGTTACGAAAGTAAATATAATTGGAAATAAACTGTAGTCTTTTTGCGCAGGGTAACACGTTGGTATTATGTCTAGACATCCGTTCGGCCAGGTATGGACAACAGTCATTGTTCGAGTCTTGGATATTTGTTTCTTCTCAAATAGGCATATTTTCAACGGGAGCATGTCTTCTCCAGACTCCGCAACTGAAGGACATATTTTATTTTAAACAATGTCGCGATTAGGAGACTCCTGAAGTTGCTCAGCCGAGTACAAGTTCATCTAGTCATCCTTAGGTTGATGCATAATGTTCAAAAAAATATGGAACCTGATCTTTATTCCGTGTTCACCCGGAGAGTCCTTCTTAGATGGACATTTTTGACCATGCGGATACTAGAAGACTCTTTATGCAGGCATGTGAACACTACTCAGAGGACATGCAGTCATTGACTGGTCTAATGAAATGTTAACCGAAATTCTGAAAAGAGTTTTTGACTAGGAATGATTACGTAAGCGAGTCTGCAATGGTGACCAGCACTTTTCTTTGGCCGTCTATGGTAACCCTCTACAAGGGTACTATTTCTTCAACTCTTTCGGTAGCAAATCATGTCTTTATCAAATTTGATACTCATAGGAAGGGCATCTTTTGGTTTTAAAATTTTTTTCTCTTCTCCAGTCGTTACAAATTATTTTTAAAACTGAATGATACCCTTTCTTTGAGTATGTTGCTTAAAAAATACGAGATTTTTAACGAAATCAGTATAGGAATGTTTATATGCCGATTTTTTGCAAAATGTCTTTGAATTTATAGGGGCATTGAAAATCGGCAAAAAATGTATTCTACGTAAGCAGCCAGTTTCATACCAATTAGGCTTTTTGCAGGCGGCCTCGAGTGTTTGGAATTTTACCAGATCATATCACAAGATAATTACCATTACAATCCAAATTAAGTAATTTTTCCCAATCGAAACCGCAATTCGCTTAATATTTTGTGATATCGGTCACTGATTTTACGCAGCATGTAACTTGGAAACTTTAAACATCAATGAAAGTTCCAGCGGTTTTTCAAAAGCTGAGGCTAGTTTTAAACTCTTTGGGCCTAAATAACAGTGCTCAATCGAAACCGATCGAAAGAAAACCGGAAACTCGTCTGAAATGGCTATTGGAAATACTTTTTGCGGTCTTTCTGCAAGTTTTGTTTTTCAATCAAAACAAGAATTTAAAGTTTACGAAAAAGTTGCGTTAATTGCGTGTGAGATTTGCAGAGACGACTAGAACTGGAATTTTATTGTTGATTTTCTGATCAGTTTTTTTGCCTGAAACTCTATTTAAAATGTACGGTCAGTGTTCAAATACTGTTTCTCTCGTCATTGTTGAAATGGGAGTCAGAACAACATAGACGTTTGCTAGTCAGGAGTAGGGATATGCTATTCTACAAAGTTTCGAGAGACATGTTAAATCTCTTGATTAAATATAAGACGCAATAGGCACGTAATACACTGAGCGACCGTCAAAAACAAGAACTGATTTCAAAAAAGCTGTTCAGTGAATAGCACTCAGCTCGGCCTGCGTGGGTGGACAGTCAAATGCCAGTCAGTGTGAGGATGGAGTTTGCCACTAAAAGAAAAGTGTGAAAGTTAAATGCATGGAAGATCGACCAGACGTAGATCCCTTAACTAGAGCAGGCATTTCATTCGTCCAGTAAATAAAGAGCAGATCGCGGTAAGTTCCGGGAATAAAAACCCCCCTATTACAGGTGGCCTTGCTTTGGATTCCTTGGAAGGGGGGCTTGATTTAGGCTTAGTTCAGATTGACAAAGTTGAGAGATCCAGGTAGATTATTTGAAGAAGATGATGATAAACTCTCCGGAATAGGTTTATTTAAGTGCTGACGTTCAAAAGCGCTTGGTCGGCTCTCCATTGTCAAAGCCTAAAATGCACTTAATCGATCCGAACTTTCAAGTTGCATGTTGTGTTAGTCGGCCTCTTGCTGGATTTAGGGTTAGGTTGTTAGAATTGATTGGTGTCAGGGTTAAGGAATCTAGGGTTAGGGTTGACGTATCGGCCAGGGGTAAATGTAAGACTCGGGAATAGGTCCTCCCCTCGAATTTAACTCAAGGCCATCTGCACTGTACGAGGTTCTTATTCGCATGGCACCCAGTCAATCAGAATGGCCAAGAAGAAGCTTGCTCCAAGAGGCAACGTAAAGTGTTTTCAGTTTGCTGGTAGTTAGGTTTCACGTAACCAGCCAGTAATCGATGCAATTTCGACTTCTTTATTTGCATAAACCTTTCTTTGAAAAATAAGCAGATGATAGTCTGGGCTGTTTTCTCCGGGGAACAATTCAGCTAAATGAAAATAACTGAAGATATTAATTTATACGTGCCAGAGAAAGAAATAAAAAGACCTCGCGGTGATTTTTGCTTGACGGTGGTTAAGATGCCCTGGGGTTGTCACCGGAGTGAAAATACGGCAGTGCAATACCTTTTGGACAGTGTCTGCATTGGGGCATTAAACTCATTTAATATTACCACTAAATAGTAGAAATAGTGTTCCTTCTTAACTGGTGACAATATGGAGGAATAAAATTGTGAAAACACGAAGTTATTAGGTATCCAGCTCTTTCGCTTAACACAAATCACACCCTTGTCAAACAAACTTCTGGTGGCTCATGCACCATCAAATAATCCCGTGCTTTTGTCCTTCCCTACCCTTCTGCCGCTGGAGCATACAGTAGGTGGGCTAACGCACGAAATAACAACTGGAATTCCCGAATGCGTTTTCGTTTCGAAAAGATTAATTAAGTAGGGTTGTAAAATTAATAAATCTGCAGCATAATTCGATAATAGCTCAGCTAACTCAGGATGCCATCTTTCGCAAAAACTTTCTTCCGGTTGCATGCAAAAACTATACTTTGCAAAAAATGACTACATGTATAGCATGCATTTTTCCCACTGATTTCCGGATGCCCATAAATGTCCAATTACATTTAAATGGAAAACATGCCCCAAAATTATTTATTCTTCGGCTCATTCGGTAGAAAATTACGTCTTACTCCAATGTTGTTCTCGAAGAAATGGGTAACATTCGGCTTTCAAAACTTTTCCAATTCACGAATAATTTTGAACTTCGCCTGCCGTTACACTTGCATTCAAGGGTTTCCAAACTACGAGCCCGGCGTACGGAAAACCATACATTTCTTTACGGTATTAAGAGGAGACAATATGGGGATCATAATATTTAGCATTGGATTTGATCTATATTGTTAACTTTACAAGCCACATTGGTAAATGCAGAGACATGCCGTTTTGTGAACTGCCGTTTCACGGTATTAAAGATCTCACGAGTATAAAATGGAAAGAAGACGCAATTTTCTACCGAATGAGCAAAAGAATGAATATTTTTATGCATATTTTCCCTGAACTATAATTTGACATTTATGGTCATCCGAAAATCAATAGGAAAAATTCATGCTACATAAGTTGTCACGTTTTACAGAGCATAATTTTTGCATGCAGCCGGAAGGAGATTCCTTCGAAAGCCGGCATCCTGGGCTAACTGAATTATTATAGACTTGTGCTGCAGATTAATGAGTTTTACAACCCTACTTACTGAATCTTTTTGAAACGAAAACGCATTTAGGAATTCTAGTTGACATTTCATGCGTTAGCTCACGTACTGTAAGTCGATCTAAAAGACTTGAAACAAGTAGGTGGTTGTGACTTGCGACTGGTTCGAAAGACCTCATCCAAGTCGAATACAAAGTAAAGATTTGCCTTTATAGTCAAACAAACGCACCTTTTCAACCCTCGCTAGGCTTTAACAGTCATAACCTCGACGCTTGTCAAATAATTAGACCAGGATGCAACTACTCATTCTTCCTGTTGCCTTCATTGAAACTCTCCAATGAAATATCAGTGAACCTATACTCAGTCTGGTCGGGGCTTGAGCACGTGTGCCAAGTGTCACCAAATTAGTTAGCCTTGGTCCCTCGTCGCCCATCGCCAGGACGAGGAGTCTGACCTGACCTGGCGACTGTTCAGTGCTTTAGAAAGTTGCTTCTGTCCAACAGGTGCAGTCCGCTTACAGTCAGCGAGGTCCTCCAATCGACTAGTGAGCACATTAGCGGCACTTCCGACAGACCGATCCATTTCCGGAAGAGGAAACGTTTGTCACAACGGATCAACAATGACATGTTTTACGACCTTGGTGAAGGAAATGTTTAGGGTTCAGTTTTCTCGATGACTGTATAAAAGGCAGAAGTTTGGGTCTTCTGTTCAATAGTTGGGGGGGATAAATATCAACTGCCCTCCCTCCACTAGTTGTAACATTCATCTTCGGTTCAGGTTGGTGGGCTGATGGTATGTCGTTTAAACAAGCAGATTGCGTCAGTCTGCCGTCTGTTGCAAGGTCTGCTTGAAGATGACATCCGCTTACAGAGGAACACACGATAGTTTGTTCAGCCGTCGTTGCCGTGTATGTCCCCGTGTGCTCCACAACAAGGTTAAGCAGGTACGGTGACTTGTGCGTGATTTAATTTATCGGGAATGTAGTCATGCGCAGCATCTACCACACTCTCGCCTTCACCCCTACCTGGACCCGGTGTCAAGACAGAGTCAAGAAGAACGGAGACAAGGGAAGGGCGCAGTTGGCTGGCGCGATCGGACCCGCACCTAGGCGTGCCACCGCACAGTACACTTGACCAGGATTTTCCACCAAAAACAAAACAACACCCTAGCAGGGGTCAAAAGTACGAGGATGATGACTGGGCAGTCATGCCCACCACATGTATACCCAGCGGGAGTGCAAACGCATCCACCGGCTGGGAACCAGGTGTCAGGAGATTTGGGTATGGCTGGCTGACGACGGCTAATAAGCCAGAAATGGCCATTCCAGTCTCCCTTGTCTTTGTCGGCAATACCATTCTGCCTACATATGTCAGGAGACTGTCAGCGCATAACAGGCTGCGAGGGCCGTGGTTTGTTGATACTGGCATAGCACGCGCTTTCAGACCTTTTGACCAGGCAAGAGGAACACGAGAGTTTGATCGTCGATTTTGGCGATGCCCACCGTGTGTTCCAAGGCAGGGTGGAAGCAGGGACGGTGATTTGCGCGGGGGTTTCTAGTGCCAGTAGACTTGCGCTACATCTACCACACTTTCTCCTCCTACCCCACCTGAGCCCGGTGTCAAAACAGAGTCAATAAGACCGGAGATGAGGAAGAGGGAAACGCACACACCAAATACTGCCAGTGCAAACTGCCACAAAAATGCATATGCTTGAGTGTGATAGACCGTAACGGCTAAGAGGACCAGCTTTCATCTACGACAAGGACTGTCCAACACGTTTTATCGGTTTCACAGATGAGTGACATCCTCGATGCTAAAATTCGGTGCTACGAAAAACGTGGGAACTAGAATGACCCTCTCGACCTCCTTTGTTGTCGTCAGCTCTGCACGTCGAATTAACCTGACGCGAATTCAATGCTCCTCCTGTTGACTTTTCGTAAAAGGTTGGCTAACTTATGAAGTGTCAACTGAAATTTCGAAATGCGTTCTCGTTTCGAAATGATTAATTAAGTAGGTTGGTAAAACTGATCATCGTACAGCATCATTCTATAATGATTCACTTACCTTATGGTGTCGGCTTCCGAATTGACTTATTTCCGCCTGCATGCAAGAACTATGCTCTGCAAAAAAATGACCACTTGTGTAGAATACGGCTTTCTCATTCATTTTCGGTGCGTTTTAAAATTCGAATATATTTGATGGAAAAAATGCATACAACTATTCATTCTTTTGTTTATTCAATAGAAAATTACGTCTTCTTCCAATTTTATACTTGGAGGAAGGGAATAATTCGGTTTTAACAAAGTTTTTAACTGTGAGATTTTTAATACCATGAAATGGCCGTTCATAAAACGTCATGTATTTGCATTTACCAATACGGCTTTTAAAGTTAACCATGCTGCACTAATTCACTGCTTAATTTTACGAACCCCGTATGGTCTCCTCTTAATACCGCAGACAAATGTATGGTGTTCCGTATACGGAAAATATGCGGCTTGTAGATTTGTGACCCTAAATGCGAGTGTAACCGCAGGTCGGGTTCAAAATTATTCGGGAATTAGAAAAGATTTTAACGCCAAATTATAATCCCCTTTCAAGTACACAATCGGAAGAAGACGTGATTTTCCACAGAATAAATAAAAGAATGAATATTTTTATGCATGTTTTCCATGTAATATAAGCGACTTTTCAAGGGCATCGAAAATAAATATCAAAATTGCCTGCTACCGACGTAGTCATTTTTTCAGGGTATAGTTTTTGCATGCAGTCGGCAATAAGTACATTCGAAAACCGACAACCTGAGGTAACTGGATCATTGTAGAATTATGCTGCGTGATGATCAGTTTTACAACCCCACTTATTTAATCTTGTCGAACCGAGAACGCATTTCATAATTTCAGTTGACATTTAATGAATTATTCCGCCTACTGTAGATACGGACTAATCCATCATTGCAGAACATTTCCGACTTCTTTGATCTTTGTGCTCCTGCATGACATGAAACTTATTTCTCTTCCCCGTTTTTCGTTCCTTTCTGTTACTGCTCTTTTCCGTCTCTCCCATGCCCCCGTCTACTCCAACGTTTCTCCTTTAACTTTGTCGCTTTTTTTCCTTATCAACATTTTTCCTCTGATAAAGTGTTTTCTCTAACTTCCTCATCGTCCCTTTCTCCCTCTTCTTCTCTCTCATCTTTTCCTCCTTGTTCCCCTCCTTCTTCCTCTCCTTCCCCTTCTTATTTTTGCCCCTTTCCCCCCCCCTTCTTCTTCTTATTCTTTCTCTTCTCCTTCTTTTTCCCCTTCTTTCCCCTCTTCTTTTTCCCTTGATAGATGAGTTTTCGCCGAGCGGTTTTCAGACATCTCACCAGGCATGCTCATCAGACTGCTGTTTCTTGAATCCCTTCAGCTGGCCGCCAAGATGTTGAAGGACGCTCTCGAGGAGAAAATGGGCGCCGGTTGGCACGTGGTGGTCGGTCAGGGCTTCGGCTACGAAGTAAACTACGACAAACGCTTTATAATGTTTATGTACTTTGGCGGGAATACGGCTATTCTGATGTGGAAGTGTCTATAGCCGAATCGTTTCTATCGTTTCTAATAAATTTGCATGTTTGTCTAGAACTCCATCTGCGCTCAATTTCACATGGTGCTTTGAATGCCAGTAAGCGGGATACACTGCCGCGTCCGCCATCGGGGTCATCAACGTGGGCGTGTTTCAGGATGGGAGGTTTCGATGACTAGCATGACATTTTCGGGTTTATTTAATGATCAAAATCCAAGGTAGGATGTTGCTTTATACAGTGTCATCAGTGGGCAACCGAGGGCACAGACATTTTGAGAAAAAATTCAGAAAATAAAAATGTAAACAAACTAATAAACCAAAAACCAAAGCTAAATGAAATCTGAAGGTGGTGGGAAAACTTAGCGAGACGATATCGAGGCATAAAATGTATAATACCCACCGGACTTCACAGAAAGCAAGGTCATTGTCTCTCAAACTAGGGTAGCCATTAGGTACAGTAGGTGGGCTAACCCATGAAATGTCAACCGAACTTTCGAAATGCGTTCCCTTTTCGAAAAGATTAGTTAAGTAGGGTTGTAAAACTAATAATTATGCAGCATAATTCTATAATAATTCAGTTACCACAGGGTATCAGCTGTCGAATGAACTTATTCCCGACTGCATGCAAGAAATATACTCTGCAACAAGGTCTACTTAGATAGCATGCAATGTTTTCATTGATTTTCCGTGCTCTTAAGAGTTCAATTATATTTCACAAATAAATGCATAAAACTATTGCTTAATTTATTGATTCGGTGGAAAATAACGTCTCCCTGCAAAATGATACTCGAAGGAGGAGTATAATTCTGTCTCAGAAAAGTTTCCGGTTGTAAGATTTTTTAATACCATGAAATGGCCGTTTATAAAACGTCATGTATCTGTATTTACTAGTGTTGTTTTTAAAGTTAGCAATTTTGCTCAAATCCAGTGCTTACTTTTATGAACCCCATATTGTCTCCTCTTAATACCGTGGAGAAATGCATGGTTTTCGATACACGGAAAATATACGGCTTGTAGTTTTGAAACCGTGAATGCAAGTGTAACAGAAGGTCGGGTTCAAAATTATTCGAGAATTAGAAACTTTTGTGAAACCGAATTATGCTCTTCTTTCAAGTATAACATCGGAAGACGACGTGGTGAAATATAATTGAATTTTCAAGTGCATTGAAAATCAATGAGAAAAATGCATGTTACATGTTACATCTTTAAAAGAGTAGCTTTCTTGCATGCTGTCGGAACTAAGTTCACTCGACAGATGGTACCCTCAGGTGACTGGATTATTATAGACTTATGGTGCATAATGATCAGTTTTATAACCCTACTTAGTTAATATTTTCGAAACGAGAACGCATTTTGAAATTTCGATTGACATTTCATGAGTTAGCCCACGCACTGTATTCTTAGCTTAACTGCTCGAGAAAACTGTAAGTTTTGGTGGATCAAACTTTGTGGAGAGGTTTTCCGCGTAGTCCACCCCGCAGGAATTATCGAACAAGTAAATTGCAACTATTATCGACAGCTAGCATAACCATGTCTGGCGTATTTGTTTAAGACCCCCTTTGTGTCAAGGCCATTCACCTTTGTAGTGAGCAGTTCCAGATACGCTAACTTGTAGCCACTTGATTGAATTTAACTCGGGCGCAAATGCGTCCACAGATTCGCATCTGCCCATGCGCCACTTGTACACATTACCACCCTCCAGTCAACAAGGCAAGGTACTTCAACACCACCCTTCAGCATGTACAGCAGGTGGGCTAACACATGAAATGTCAACCGAAATTCCGGAAAGCGTTTTCGTTTCGAAAAGATTAATTAGGTATGGTTATAAAACTAATCATCGTGCAACATAAATCTATGGCCTTTCGGTTACCTCAGGATGCCGGCCTTCAAACAAACTTCTTTTCGGCTGCACGTAGGAACGACATTATGGAAAAAATGACTACTTACTTGGCATGCATTTTTCTCATTGACTTTCAAGGCCCTTAAAAATTTCATTGAAACATGCATAAAAAATATTTATTCTTTTGCCCATTCGGTAAAAAATATATCTTCTCCCAATTTTATACTCGAAGGAAAGGTATAACTCGGTTTTAAAAAACTTTTCCGATTCCGGAATAATTTTGGACCTGACCTGCCGTTAAACTTTCACTCAGGGTTTCCAAGCTACAAATCGCACATTTTCCACGTATGGAAAACCATATATTTCTCTACGGTATTCACAGAAGATCATATGGGGTTCGTAGAATTTAGCAGGGGATTTGGGCCATATTGCTAACTTTGAAAGCGACACTAGTGAATGCACATACATGACGTTTTATGAACGGCCGTTTCACGGTATTGAAAATCCCACAATTAAAAACTTTTTGAAAACCAAATTATACCGTTCCTTCCAGTACAAAAGTGAAAGACAAAGTGATTTCCTACCGCGTGAGTAGAAGAATGGATTTTTTATGCATGTTTTCCATGCATCAAAAATTAATGAGAAAAATGCATGCTACTTATGGAGTCATTTCCTTGCCAGCGCATTGTCCTTTCGAGTTTCATCTTTGTATATCGGTAGATATTTGTTGTCTTCCGCTCGATAATGCGCTTGTTGTTTGGAGATTGTGTTGGCCAATTTTATTCGGCACTTAACTGGTATATTGGCCGGGCACGAGGATGCTGCCTCCCTAAGATTCTGCAATTCGCTTTCCATGACATTTGCTGGTAAGTATATGCAGTGAGTGACCTATCTCATGAAATGTTGGCTGAAATTCTAACATGCGTTTTCGATTAGGAAGGATTACTTGGTCGCGGTTGTAATACTGATTACCTTGTGGCATACTCTTATAACATTTCGGACTCGGCAGGATGTCGGCTTTTAAATGCACTTCTTTTCAATTTCCTGTAGAAGGCGTGCTTGGCAAAAAAATGACTACTTAAGTAGCATGCATTTTCCCATTGAATTTCGATGGTCTTGCAAATTCAAATATATTTTATAGAAACCACAAACAAAAATATGATTTCTTTTAATCAATCAATGGAGAATCATGCCTTCTTTATACTTTATACTTAAAGAAGAAGTATAATTAGGTTTTAAAAAAGTTTCTAATTATGAGACTTTTTAAGACCGCGAAATGTCCATTCACATAGCATCATACCTGGCCGTTTACCACTGCTCCTCATGAAATTTACAACATGGTCCGCATCCACTGCAAAATTTTATGGACCGTATGATATCTCTTCAATGGCATAGAAAAATAAGTGATTTTGTTTATGCGGAACGCATGCACCTTGTAGAGTGAAATCACTCGGCGCTAATGCAACCAATGATCAGGCTCCAAATTATTCGGCAATTAGAAAACGTTTTTAAAACCTAATTATACACCTTCCTTAAGTATAAAATATAAAGAAGGCATGATTCTCCATTGATTGACTAAAACGAAGCATATTTTTGCTCATGGTTTCTATAAAATATATTTGAATTTCCAAGACCATCGAAAATCAATGGGAAAAATGCATGCTACATTAGCAGTCATTTTTTGCCGAGCACGCCTTTTACAGGAAATTGAAAAGAAGTGCATTTAACAGCCGACATCCTGCCGAGTCCGAAATGTTATAAACGTATGCCACAAGGTAATCAGTATTATAACCGCGCTTAAGTAATCCTTCCTATTTGAAAACGCATTTTAGAATTTCAGCCAACATTTCATGAGATAGGTCACTCACTGTAGATTCAAGCCCGGGACCGTCGTCTACAACCGCACTGTCGGTTTTCCTCGTCAATACTTGGAAAGATAAACGGCCTAGAGTTAAATAATGTAATTCTCGTGTTGTACATTCTGCCGCTCGCAACGCTGCCCCTACTTATTCCTTGATCCTTGATGGTTATAACGTTTTTTTCTCGGAACTCGTGTGAAAGTACAGTTCTCATAGAAGGGTATTTCAACATTTAGGAGACAGCGTTTGCCCCTTTTGTGGAGCTTTGGCGACACTGAAGGAATTTGGCTAGAACTTCCGCAATTCCTTGTTAACCTAGGTGTGTACTACATCACTGAATGAATCGCTGTCATTGAGAATTATTGCTATTGCCTCGCATGATGCATTACATTTTAAAACAAGAATTCTTATCCGGAATTTCCTCATCCACTTGATGCACTCCTTCACTCTCAGGACCTCAAAGAATTTCGCCAAGTCACACTAAGTGACTTAGAAAAAGAACGTAGCCAGAAAGCGTTTTGCCTGAGATTCGATCGAATTGGTCGCCCCGCCCCCCTTACTAACGTAGGTTGCTCTGCCATAAATGCAACGACCCTGTCAGCACATCGCCCCTTCATAGGTGGAGCAGGGAAGAGGCTGGTTGGGGCCAACGCCCCCTCTGGATCAAAGCACTTTGAAGCATATTTGCATCGAAAATTATGTTTTAAAATCACTGCTCATTCATCTACGCCCACGGGTCGCGGATAATACCGTGCGTCAACCAATGCTGTTTTCATGCTCTTGATAACTGCCCTAGTTAATCTATGTATGTTATGCTAATTGTTTTGATATTTACTCACCAGCCAGTTCAAGTAGTCGACTTGTATGTCTATGTATATACTATTTAGCCTTGGTGTTATACATATGCAAATTGTTTATCGTTTTTTACTAAGTATCCAAAGCAATTATGAAGCGTAATTACTGTGGCTATCACCAAATCACCATATACAAGTGCATTAAGCGACAGACGAAGGCATATTATGAGGCCATTGAAGAGCCAGAGTCTGAGGTTTCCTCAACATTGACAGCATTTGGCAATCAATTCCCCGAACGAGAAATGCCTATACTGAGCTCTGAAACTTCTACCGGTAGGTATGATGTGTGTGCGTTTCAGAGGACTCACCATACAGGTTGATATTTTAAAGAGGTGCCAAAAGTAGGCGGAAATGTGGGGCCAGGTGGGGCTGTCGCGTATAATGTCCCGCTACAGCCCCCTTCACAGTCCCGTCAAGCCCCTTCATAGCCCCCTCTAATCCCGCCATATTTGAGGGTGT